TTTGATGTGACAACTGGTTGCAACTATTTACTAATTTGAAGATGTAAAACATAAAATTGTTTCTGCCTCCTAGTCAGCACAACTACATTTTTAGTTAAAAACTGATTTTCTTTTTTAGTGTCATACCTAATGTTAGTTCTCTTCCTCTTCAAAATATGTTTCTAAAACAAAACTCTCAGTAACATATAAACTTTCTGTCACTAATGTTTTTTTCAGTCAAAATGACCTGTAAATTTGATATTGAAGTAAAAGTTATTCTGACTTTCAGGGAAAGATTTCAACCATTCATATCTGTATATATTTGAAATGTAATGTAAGCAGTGTTCTCCAGTTATAACCGTTGCTTGGCAAAAATGACTGCTATGACTAGCTTTCCATTTCTTTTTCTGCTTATATTTAAATATCCTATACAAATGGTATCTAAAGTAATGCTAAGCAGTAAAATTTAAACTGAAAAGCACACAACCACACAAGTAACTATGCCATTAATATAAGAGATTCATGGATTAGAACTCAGTTTAGGAACATAATTCTAATGATATAGCTCAACCTTATTTTGTATAAAATTGTTTTGAACAATACCTCTATCAGTATGTTGAATTCTAGTATAGATTCTAGTGATCACTTCTGAGAAGCATTCTCATCATAACACGATGGTTCTTAAATGTTTTTGAAAATTGTTGATTCCCAGTGATGATCTCAAGGAATACTCTTGGCAATGTTCAGCTAATTTCCCGTAGAAACAAAATCACATCACCCATGCATGCTCATGACCTATGCACACTAATTTAAAACCACAGACATATAAAAATATACCTTGATGTTTGTCCACAATTCCCTGGGATTTGTCATTGATTTGGAAGAATTTGTGTCTTCCATGCATACCAGAATACAGTAAATTAGCAGAGGGTGCCTCTGAGGAAGCAAGGAATCCCTGGTTTATTTTCTTAGAAGATTGTATCTCAGGGAAGACATCACTGCTATTTATTAATAGATGCAGATGAAAACAAATTCAATCTTCAAATATTATTAAATCTGCTTGTAGTATTTGACTAAGGTATCTTTAAGTCCTATAGTTATATCATAAATGTTTGAGATATCAAGAATTTAACAAAAGAACTGCCAAATTTAATGAAATGTGTTAATGAAATTGCTCTGTGACCATGAGGTTGAATTGTATGCTTTTGTTTATTTGGCTATCATACCATGAATGAGTTTTTTAAGTAAATCCAAATAAGAATTCATCATTGCAGTTGATTTACATTGGAAGTCACTATCCTTTCTAATTTTTTTTAGAAATAAAACTTGTACTATCATTAAAACATGTGGTATTCTTTAACAATCTTCTATCTTAGGGTAGATAAGGTTATGCTTTATTTTTGCAGATACAAATTATTTCCTTGTTAATTAAAAAAAATCAATACTCTTTATGTTAGGATAAAGTTTTTTTTTTAAAAAAAAACAGATTACACATATTAGTGTCTGGAGCTCTGGCAGCACAGTGGTTAAAGTGTTTGGCTGCCAACCAAAACACTGGCAGTTCAAATCTACCAGATGGTCCATGGGAGAAAGACGTGGCAGTCTGCTTCTGTAAATATTTTCAGCCTTGGAAGCCCTGGGCAGTTCTACTCTGTCCTGTAATGGCATTATGAATCAGAAGGGTTCGGTTTTTATTTATTTATTTTTTTGCATTAATGTCTACCTCCACACTTTACAAACTTTGCTATATTTTATCTGCAAATGCTAATATGTAAATTTAAGTCTTGTATAATATAAGAAAAAGATGAAACAGACATTGAGCTAAATGAACATCAGATTGTTTCTTTTTTTTAAGCCTCTATTTAAAATAATTTCTAGTGGACTATTGGTATACCCTATGGCGGGGGGAACCCAATGTTCAATTCTTCAAGTTTGAGCAACGAAGATTTATATTTAGGTGAATTAATGGGCACTTTGGGTCCACTGTATTTGTACACACACTAGAAGCAAGAACACTTTAAGAATTGTGCTTATATTAATCTTTACACAGAGGACTGTTACTATGTAAAGCACTTAAACGTTTTACATCAGAGGTCCATTCTTAAGCATTAGGAAGAAAAAGTGACCTCAAGCAAAGTTACGAAAGAACAAAAAACTGCATTCAAGACTTACTCATCCTACTATTTCTTTGACTTTTTTCCTTCTAGAGGCAGTCTGCCTTCGACTTCCAGATCTTACTTAGTACCCTCATGCTATGTCAATCTTTGGTTATTTCAAAATATACATTGTATAAAAATTCTGACCAGATAATTCCTGGTGTCTTTGCATTTTTAGCACAGGCCAAACCCTTAGATCAAGAAAGAAATCTGTAACAGTACAATTTTAGGACTTCAAAATAGGTTCCAGGGAGGAGATGTGGTGGTGGTGGTGGTGGTGGTGTGGTGGTGTGGTATGTTAGAGACCTTATCCAAAGCCCTTACTCCTAAGACCTTGCTTTAGCACCATTAGGAAGTATTTAATTAATTACAACTAATAATCTTCCTTCTGCTTTGTAGGGTCAACAACTGAAGTAATTTCAAGGGCGCTGGAAGTAATTTCTTCCTAATAGTATTGCTTTATCTATAGGTGGCTGCTCTGGTAGCATAGTGGCTAAGACACTTGCCTGCTAACCAGACGGCTGGCAGTTCAAACCCACCAGCCACTCCTCGGAAGGAAGGTTGGGCAATCCTACTTCCGTAGTGATACTGCCTCGGAAACCCAAGGAGGGGTCGCTATGAGTCGGGGCCGACTCGACGGCACATAACAACAACAACAACATAGGTGGCTGAGCTAATGCTAATATGGTGAACTGAATTCAGTGGAAATAGTTTTATAATAATATCGATACATATATGCATTGGGGAAATCATTTGTGTAAATGCTGACCCCCCCTCCCCCAGATTTTATCATTCTGAAAAAGTAAGTTTATGAATATGTACAGAGTAGCTGAATGAGAAATAAGAAAAAATATATATTCAGTGATCAGATGAGGTACATTTGTTAGTGTTTCGGAACGGACCTAGAAATAATGCCTCAAAATCTATTACAGAGTTAGAAACATGTGAGGTCATTTTGAAATTACAGTCTGCTCTCTAGCTTTAAGTACACATACATCAAATGCATGTGCAGCAAAAACGAAATGTTGGTCTTGCAATTATTTCAATATTTCATGTACATGTGATTCTTAACTGGCTCCTATCTTTATCTTATTTTTTCACTTCAATTTGTGTTTGTAGGAAATAATCTAAAAAAGGAACAAATTTTCAATTTCTTTGCTAAAGATATTCCCTTAGAAGTCATGGCTCAACCAGAAATTAGCATTTTTTTGTGTTCCATGTAAAATACAAGGGAATAGAGTGGAGTTAAGGAGCCCTGGTGGTGCAACAGTTAAGCACTCAGCTGTTAACAGAAAGGCTGGCAGTTCAAACCTACCCAGTGGCTCCATGGGAGAAAGATCTGGCAATCTGCTCTCACAAAGACTGCAGCCTAGAAAATGCTATGGAGCAGTTCTACTCCATCACATGGGGCCTCTATGCATCAAAATTAATTTGATGGCACCTAACAACAACAGAGATGGGCTATTAAATTTAACTACACATACACAGAGAAGAAAAGCTAATGGCTGCAAGTGGGGTCTGTTTTTCAGAGTTCCCACCATTCCAGACTCTGAAAATGGATCTTGGGGAAGACATGTCAGTAGGATACTACAAAGTGGAAGAAGAAAGAAACTTATAATTCAGTGAGAAAATAAAATGATGCAATGAGTACATCTGATCTACTAATCTGTGTCTTATGTTAATGAGTCAAATGTTGTCTTTTGAACTTTAATGCCCATGAAAAACCCGATAATAAACATAGTCAAATGCATCTGGACATATTAATACAGTTTCATTTATACTTATTTGAAAACTAGAAAGATTCACATTACAATTTTAAGACTTTAATGTTGGAACATTTTATGTTTTTATATGGTGTATGTATAATACCAACTCTGAGGCCAATAACTAGTAAGGTTTTAAACAATGAGAAATCATCATAATCTATAAGGCCATTCATGTGCAATAGAGGGTTTACATATTAGAAAAAAAATCTATGAATGGCATAAAGTACTTATACAGAACTTTTTAACAAGTTACATAGCAGTGACAACAATGACATTTCATATATTGCTTTTCTTTTTAATATGAACAGTAGGCAATGTTCTATTTCTGTGGGTAATTTTTTTTTTAATTGGGCTTATAAGACAAGATAATAGTCTCCTATTTTAAAAAATGCAGGCTTTATGATGGAAAAAAAGTTTTTCTATAATATGCTTAAAGATGATATCCTGACTGAAATGGAAGAAAGTGTATTACTTCTTTGCCTTTCATCAATCAGAATCATACTTTTAAAAATTTAGAGTGATGATTCATGCTGAAGAAAAATGCAGAAATTCTAATGCAACAATTTCTCTTATTCTGCCACTTATAGAGATGGAAAAGAGAAAAATGATCAGTCAGGAGGAACGTACTAGGTACATTTTAACTACTAGTAACTTAGAACTTCATTTCCTATTGGTTATTAATTACTCTCACATGAGCTAATTTAAAAGACTTTTATAAGCTATCACCTAGTTTCTTCCAGAAGTGTATGTAAATATAACTTATAAAATAGAAGATTCTACCATAAAGTAAAACTTCTTGTTTTCATTTTTATCGGTAATTTGGCATGAAATAACCTGTGGTTCTTTGGAATTATGCTTTAAATGTTTACAATTTAAGACAGGGTTCTTTATCATTTGGGTTTAATTATAGTAACTCTCTCAGATTTCATCACAATTAAGTCTATTAGGATAAGCTGTGAAGAGATCACTTTACAAACAAATTTTCAAAAGCATACAAGATTAATCCATATGCTGCTGAGATGAGGCACAATAAAGAAGCATTACTGAGATAATCTATGGCTAAAATGATGGTGTATGACTTATGATTAAGCTTCATTACCTGCAGAGCAAGGGGCTTCCATCTCATATTTTTCAGTAAAGCTGGTGCTGAGGTAAGCATGCTCTGAGGTCGCTTTTTCAAAGTTAAGATAACACCACTCGGGTCCTCTCGTAGTGCATTCACCAAATTTTTCAACTGCCACCCCACCTGGTAACCAGCAAAATCATTACAATAAAATTGAGGTACAGTATTCAAGATTTAATGTTCTCCCCCTTTAATAAGATTAGTTAAAAAAAATCACATAATTGGTGTACCATCCTATCAATTTTCAGGAGATACATACTCAAGAAAGAAATTTTATCATTGAACTGATTAACCATGTTATTGCATTAGAGCATTAGAGTCTTTATTATGAGACAATATAGTGGCAGTTTACCATGTCAAAGCAGAGGCTAGAACAGTATCCTACCAATGGAGTAATTTAGAATGTAAAGAAATTATGACACCATTAATGCTGCTCAGCTATGAGGTCTAGATCCAAGCTCTGTTCACAAGTAAAATTAAAAAATATCCACAAGCCTGAAAAGAAGGACTTGGCAATGTCCTGAGCTTAAACTACACCACATGCTTTCTCATCACCATCTTTTGGAGATATGTGGCACAAGTGTCTCCAAATTAGAGTGACTAATTTATATTAGAAATAACTGGTACTGACATACCAAGGCAACATTCTGATGCGTGGAAGACAGTTTCAACAAAATAAACCTTTTACTATGCTATAAAAATAGAATTTAAAAAGACAAGGTAATGCTTCTTCAATACAGCAGCTATTGGAAATGTATTCCAAAGAACCTTATAAACTTAAAATATAATGTGCTAAATTTAAGGAAGCTATTTTATTTGAATATCACCTCAAAACATGTTGTGCAATTAAACCAAAGTATTTGATAAATGTGCTAAAACCTAGGTCAACTGTTAGTCATGTTAAAATACTTCATTATCCTTTTTAAATTCTGAGAATAGAGTAATTTTTATTAGTTTGCTTTTAAAATGGACTAGTGATACACTATCAGGTAACTGAACTCTTAGAAGTATATTTAAAAAAAAACATTAAAATATGTATCATCCAAAAGCTTGTTATAAAAATACATCTTATATACGAAAGAGGGAAAACCTTCTATTCCAATTCTAATGAATTATAACATTCCAGGATGTGTTATACAAATTACTGGATCAAATTTTATCCTGGATTTTAAGTATGATTTAGTAAATGGTATGAACATCGATCTTGTTTCTTCCTAGGAACCTGAGTGCAAAAGCATGGGTGCCTTTTGTCAGCTATGTATAATGTTTTGTCCAGAAGCCACTGCTTAACTGGGGAGAATAAGCTCTTCCCAAAAGAAGTACAGAGTTCCAGAGATCATGATGAAGAGGTAATCTGGAATGTAGCCATTGTAGGATAATGTAAGACTCTGGTATATTTAATGAACATCAATTTAAGTCATAACCTCAGCTATTGATGAATTGTGTGATGGTGAAGAGAAAGAGTTAGGAAAAAAGAAGAAGAAGAAGAGATATTGTGATGCTTAAAGCCTCAGGAATCCCAGAACTGAATCACAAAGACCATTATGATACTTGCCTAACATGAATAAGATGCGTTTAGTTTAGAAGAAAAAAAAAATCACATTAATGTAGATCAACTACAGTAATAGAACTACTCAAATCTCTCCCATTATATATGTTGGAATTATTATGTGCCCAAAGATATGCTACATTGATCCTGAGTCCTCTGGTAGCTAAGGAATGTCCCTACAGCCATTTCCACAAGCCAAGAGCCAAACCAAAGTGAGCTTAAATTCAAGTGCTTGCCAAGAAAGGATAAGAGAACAGATTTTCTGTTACAGATTTGGAGAGAGAAAACATACTGGTTATACAAAGAGTTTATGAACGTAGCGTCTAAGGCATTTGACTGCTAACCAGAAGGCTGGCGGTTCAAACTCACCAGCCACTCCTCAGAAGGAAGGTGGGGCACTCTACTTCCATAGTGATACCACCTCGGAAACCCAAGGAGGGGTCGCTATGTGTCAGGTTTGACTCCACAGCAGTGAGTTTGGCTTGGTTTATTACTAATAACCACATTTTCTCATTTAGTCAAATAATTGCTAACCACACTAAAGCAGTCAATATGACAACCCTATCTTTCTTCTAGCATATCTATTCTCAACAATGAATTACACACGGATTTCTACCCACCAGTTTTTGTCCATTTTACTCTGTGACATGATCTGTGTGACTAGTTGGAGATTTTTAAGGCTAGATGGTGTTTTTCTGGGAAATGTTCAGTGCCATCTGAGTCAACTTCTTCTTTCATACTTTCTATATGTTCTTTTTGAGTAAATAATTTTTAAAAATAGAACTATTTTATTATGACAAAGTAGAATTCTTTTTTAATGAGAAAGTTAATTTGGTTAGATTTGAATTTTACAGTTGAATGTTATATTATATAAAAACTAGGTATATAACTCAAGTGCTTTTAAATTAGGCTTTCCACTATCATTGGCCTAACATTAGGAAAGTTTTAATAAAAAGCAAACAAGTATATACAAAGAAACTAAAATGTGGATCCCAAATTCTTCTTCCACTAACATAAGGAAATGATTGGACAAAAGCACAAAGATGTGTGTATAACATGTGTGTCACACTATTGTTTGAACTCACCAAAAATTGTGTATTTTAAAAGTATCCATTAGTAAGGGATATAAAAATTGTTGTATGGAAATAAAGTAAGTAGCAAAATATCAAATGTAATTTAATACTATTTGTGTAAAAAAAAGAGTATATACAAGTATAAAAATACAGAAAGATACACAGCAATGATGATGGTGGTTACATTAGCGGGATCTAGGAACTGGGATATAAATTTTCCTGTTTATATTTTTATTTCCTAAATTTATGGCAATAAGCATGAATTGTTTTTATAAACAATCACAAAAAATTAGTGATTTTAGTTTAACAACAACAAATTTATGGCAATAAGCATGAATTGTTTTTATAAACAATCACAAAAAATTAGTGATTTTAAGGACAAATAAAATAGGACCTAGTCCATGAATATTAACATTACAGTTAAGAAATAACATATTTTATGAATTATCTAATCAGTACTACTTGTTATAGATAGAAATTTTCCACAAAATATGCAGAATCAGAAAGGCAACACTATTTAAAATACCAAAAGATGGTGATGGAGAAATCATATCTGCTCAATGCATTATACTTTTAGAGAATACAAATTTGTTACTCAGGTGTGCTCAACAAATTATCTGTACTGATAAAACTTAAATGTGAAAAAATAGGCAACTTGTACCCCAACTCACTTGGTTTAAACGGGACAATAGATGAAAAGCTGCCCTCTCCTTGTTCCACAAGTATTTTTGATTCAACGAATGATTTCAGTAGATATTTCACTTAGGAGTTAAGTCAGGTACACATAAATATTTCAAATAGGAATGAAGCTAGCTAATTTACAGTCTGTGTGTAACATTTTCCTCAAAACACAGGTAAGTTTTAGTTATATTTCTAGCTAAATGCATTAATCATTACCAGACCAATGTTTCTCTCTTTTTCCTTAGTCCTTTCCCTAACTCTCTAACTTGGCTCATTTCTTTATTACTTTCTATAGTCTCTCTGGTAGCATAGTGCCTAAGGCACTTGACTGCTAACCAGAAGGCTGACGGTTCAAACCCACCAGCCACTCCTCAGAAGGGAAGTTGGGTAATCTACTTCCGTGGTGACACTACTTTGGAAACCCAAGCAGGGGTCGCTATGAGTCGGATCCAACTTGATGACAGTTTTTTGGGGGTATAGTCTCTATCACATAAAATTTTTAATCAATTGTTCCCATTTATTGAATTCTAATTAAGAACAAATTGCCCTAAATCTTCAGGAAAAATGACTCCCAACTCTGTGACATCCTCACGTGTTTGTCCATATAATAAGGTGTAGCAAATTCTTGAAATTAATTTAATTCCCTTTAACTATTATTGAGATACTTATAGCCTACAGATTATAGAAGGACATAAATAGATGGTATGATAAAATGAGGTAAATATGTGTGTTACAACTTCAGAAAGTTGGGAGCTCCCATGTTAAAAGCTAGATGTAATAGCACCAAAACCAAAAACCAAACTCATTGCCATCGGGTCGGATCTGACTCAGAGAGATCCCTCCTTGGGTTTCCGAGGTGGTATCACTATGGAAGTAGATTGCCCAGTCTTCCTTCCAAAGAGTGGCTGGTGGCTTTGAACCACCAGCTCTCTGGTTAGCAGTCAAATGCCTTAGGCACTATGCCACCAGTGCTCCTATGTAATAGTACACACAAGTCAAAACAGATTAATAAATATAAATGTATGGTACTCATTTGTAAAGATTACTTTTCTATTTTCTAGTTTAAGATTTGGCTGGTTTAAAATATTAAGTATGCTAGGCTTGAATTAGAAACCATGTGAGACATAATAGTAATTAAAAAAAAAAACTATGTAGTACTCTTTTTTTTGTAGTACTCTTTATGTTGATTGCAACTGAAGTTTCTATGTTACTAAGGGACAGAGCTGTGGTGGTGCAGTG